GTGCTATGCACGGGTTGTGTTTCACCACTTTGTGATTTAAAATTTTGATAGATATACATCAAAAAAATATATAATTATATTATTAAATCAAAATTTAAATTTAGATATTGTTATATTTTTTTGAGATCCATATCTAAATTCTTATCTTTTTTTATTTTTGTGTGGTTTTATATTTTTTTCCAATTTATTTTAGATGGAGTTGTAGGTTTTAATTTTTTTTTTAATTTAATTTATCTATGGTTTCTATTTTTTTTAATTATTATTATTTAGGACTTTAAAAAATTTTAAAATTTAAAATTGGATATTGAGATGCAAAATAAATATTTTAACTGAATAAATAAAAATCAAATTTATTAATTTTATCTGTTTATATATTTAATTTTAGTTTTTTTGTTATGTTATAATATAATATATAAGATATAGATAGATATTCACAACTTTCATGAAAAATATTATCTTATTTTTTGGGAAAGAGAGAAGACAAGCAAGTTTTAATATTTTTTTTAGAAATCGGTGAGAGAGATTAAGATGGAGAGATGATTTTTTTTTATAATATAAATCTTTTTGTTATCTTTCTATTTGAAATTCATAAATTGAAGGATAATTATTATTTCTAAAATAATTAAATAAATAAATCAGTCAATAGTTTTTTTAAAACATCTATTTTATAAATTGAAAAATCAATAATTTTAGAAAATTGATTAATTAATCCTATTAAGTGATTTAAAATTTTGATAGATATGCATCAAAAAAATAGATAATTATATTATTAAATCAAAATTCAAATTTAGATATTGTTATATCTTTTTGAGATCTATATCTAAATTCTTATCTTCTTTATTTTTTATGTGGTTTTTATTTTTTTTTCCAATTTATTTTAGATAGAGTTATGGGTTTTTAATTTTTTTAAAATTTTATTTATCTATGGTTTCTATTTGTTTTTAATTATTATTATTTAGGTAAGTAATGATGCGATTTAAATATACGATAGATATATGAATTTTATTGATTTAAAGTATGATAGTGGGAGATATTTTCAAATCAGATTTGTTTAGATAGACTTTATAAATTTTTAAAATTTAAAATTGGATATTGAGAGAGGCAAAACAAATATTTTAACTGAATAAATAAAAATTTTATTTATTAATTTTATCTGTTTGTATATCTAATTTTTAATTTTTTTTTGTTATGTTATAATATAATATATAAGATATAGACTGATGCCCACAACTTTCATGAAAATATTATATGATTTTTTGGATGAGAGAAAAGGAATGCAAGTTTTAATTTTTTTTTTAAAAAAAAATTGGCGAGAGATTATGAAATATTTTTGTTATCTTCCCATTATTATTTCTAAAATAATTAAATAAATAAATCAGCCAATAGGTTTTTTTAATCGATTTTATAAATTGAAAAATAGATTAAAAACCCCATTTTCTTATATAATATATAGATATAGATATTTATATTGGTTTTATATATTTTTTTAATATACAGATTATTTTTTTTAGATTTTTTATAAAAATAATTTAACAATCCCATCACTAACCATAATATTTTTTATAAAAATATTTTAGATTTTTTTTAGATATTTATATTTTATTTTTTTCAGATTATTTTTCATCATCAATAATTAAAAAAATCAATCACAAATTAAGTCAATTGATAATTAAAAAGCACAATAATTTATTTTTCAAAAAACATAGTGAGTTAAAAAGATTGATTACAATTTTTTTGGGTCAAAATACAATCTAATCATCATCAATAATTGGTACATTATGTGACCCTAATGAATACAATCTATTTTGTTTTTCAAAAAATACAGTGAGTTAAAAATCAAATCACAAATTAAGTGAATTGATAGTTAAAAAAACACAATAATTTTTTTTTTCAAAAAACACAGTGAGTTAAAAAAATCAATTACAATTTTTTTTTTCAAAATACAATCTAATCATTATCAATAATTGGTACTTTAAAAACCAAATTAGAAAAAAATCAAATCAAATCACAAATATTTTTATGCTATCTAACTACAATCATATTTTTTTCATAAATAATTGTAAAGAAAAATCATTAAAACAGTAAATAAAAGATTAAATCACATTAAAAAAAAAGAACCATTGAACAAACTACAATCGCATCACATTTTTCCCATAATAAAAAAAATAAATAAATGAAAAAAAGAACTATTGACTAACTACAATCACATTAAAAAAGAAAAAGAACCATTGAACTAATTACAATCACATTTTTTTCTTTGTGAGTGTTTATATTTATCTAACTTCAATCATATTAAAAATAAAATTAAAATAGTATATAACATAAAAAAAAAAAAAACATTGAACTAACTACAACAATCATATTAAAAAAAAGAGCCATTGAACAAACTACAATCACATCACATTACAATCACATTTTTTTCTTTGTGAGTGTTTATATTTAACTTCAATCATATTAAAAATAAAATTAAAATAGTAAATAAAAAGATTAAATAACATGAAAAAAAAACTATTAAACTAACTACAACAATCATATTAAAAAAAAGAGCCATTGAACATAATACAATCACATCACATTTTTCCCATAATAAAATAAATAAATGAAAAAAAAGAACTATTAAACTAACTACAATCACATTAAAAAAAAAGAATCATTCAACTAATTATAATCACATTTTTCTCTTTGTGAGAGTTTATATTTATCTAACTTCAATCATATTAAAAAATCAAATTATAATTTTTTATTCGGTAGACAAATCACAAATATTTTTATGCGCTATCTAACTACAATATTAAAACAGTAAACAAAAAGAAAAAGTCAAGACGGAAAAAAACAAATAGAAAACTTATTGTTTGCATACGTGGTCACTCAAGTTGAAAGTGTAGAAGTGAGAAGTCAACAAGGAGAAAACAAAAGGAGACTCACTGTTTGCAATAGGTATGTGAAAAGTTAAAAAGAGTGTGTGTATTGGAGAAGTTAAAAAGACTTGGAAGAATTTAATAAGTGTTAAGTTTTTTTTTTTCAAAAAAAATTAAAAAAAATTAAGAAATTAAGGTTCAGATATTAGAACTCCCACAAAACTTGTGGGTTAGAGATAGATATAAATAAATAGATAGATATAGATATAGATATTTATATTTGTTTTAAATTTTTTTTAATATACAAATTATTTATTTTGAAAAATGTACTGCAGTAATTATGAGAGAAGTCAAAAAGTCTTGTGGGTTGAGAGAAGTTAATAAATACTGAAGTTAATTTTTTTTTTAAAACAAAAAGTTAGAAAATTAGGATTGGTATATTGGAACTCCCATAGGCCTTGGGGGTTAGATACCCTCTTTTGCTTAATATATAGTATAGACTAGCCTATCGCTCGTGTTATGCACGAGATAATTATAGATATTTATATTTGTTTTAGATTTTTTTAATATATAAATTATGTTTTTTAAGATTTTTTATAAAAGTAATTTAACAATCTTATCACTAATCATAGTGTATGGGAGAAGTTGAAAAGGTACTGCAGTAACTTTACACAGATTGTATCTATAATTATTTGTATGAGGAAATTTTAAATGCTGATCAGAGAATTTTGACCAAATCAATAAATACAAGCATGTGGAAAGACATGTGGATTGAAAAAAGTTAATAAATATTGATCATGAGATTTTGACTAAATCAATAAATGTTGAGTTTTTTTTTTAAATAAAAAATTTTAAAAATTCAGATTGAAATATTGAAACTCCTCCAGGCCTTGGGGGTTAAAAATTCATTTTTACTTAATATATAGTATAGATATATAGATATAGATGTAGATGGTAAGGAGAAATTATTCATTGCACCTGGGGCAATCTTAGGTGGTGCACCCACCTAGTTATTATTAGTGGAAACAGTAAGTCTCACTGTTTATATGTCTCGCAGACAAATGGACACTTGTCCAAATGTGAAGAGAATGGAAAATGAATAATTTCTCAATGGTATGAGTCGCGACTGTATCAACTTTTTTTTTTTTTTTTTTTTGAGCGATGCGACTGTATCAACTTGACTAGAAGTAGCACCAAACTCAGACTTTGAAATTAGAGTCGCGACTGTATCAACTTGACTAGAAGATATATAAGCATTAAACTCAGACTTTCAAATTTGAGTCGCGACTGTATCAACTTTTTTTTTTTTTTTTGAGCGATGCGACTGTATCAACTTGACTAGAAGATATATAAGCATTAAACTCAGACTTTTAAATTAGAGTCGCAACTGTGACAACTTGACTAGAAGATATCTATATAAGCATCAAACTAAAATTGTTTGGTGAAGTGATTATTTTAATTGAAATTTTTAATTTTTTTTTATAAAACAAACGTATAGAGAAATAAAAAAAACAATTAATTTTTTTAATTATTTTAAGTGATTCCTAAAACAACACTCAGTGTTTAAAATTAAATTTACTACCCACCACAACTGGTTTTAGTGGATGAATGATAAGCAAAACTTTAAGCATTTGATTTGTTTTTTCAAAAAAATAAAAAATAAAATAAAAATTATGTTGATTATGCTTGTTTTTAGGTTTAAAACAAACTAAAGTTATTTATATACATTTCTTTTTTAAAGCAAGAGGGACGCGTGACAAGAGGTGCAAGGATGCATCTATGGAGGTGGATGGGAGCGATCACACCTCAAAAAATTTAATAAAATAATTTGAAATTATATATTTACACTTCTAAACATATTTTCACACCTCTATAATAATATTCTTGCATCCATCCTGAAGAGGTTGCTAGGGACTCAAGGTGACGATAGGTGGTTTTTTATGAGAAGAGTGAAAGAAGTCTGAATGTTACACTTTATTATTCATCTCACAATTATAGTATATACAACTTTACAAATCTGTAACTAATCATCTAACAACCTAACTAATCTAACTAACTAATCTGTAACAAACTAACTGCATACAATACAAGGGAATTGTTAACATGTTACACAGCTCATGGTGTGTGATACATCTTCAGCTTTCATTCTTGTGCACTGTGTGCTCTGCGATCTGGTATAATAGTTGCAGCTGTGGACTGTTTGGACTGCTGTGATAAGTGGTTGGACTGCTGTGGTAAGTGGTGCTGTGTTGAATCTTCATCAGCCCCCCTCAAGCTGAATGGGGCAGCAGTCACCAGAAGCTTGGATTGCAGATAAAGAAAGCGAGAGACAGTCAATGGTTTAGTAAAAATATCAGCGATCTGCTCAGAGGAAGGAACATAGCGAATTTGAAGTTGCTTTTGAAGAACTTTTTCACGAACAAAATGATAATCGATTTCAATATGTTTGGTCCGGGCATGGAAAACGGGATTAGAAGCAAGGGAAATGGCAGACAGATTATCACACCAAAGAGTAGGAATGGTGGAAGAAGACAAGAACATTTCAACAAGAAGCATTTGAACCCAAGAAGCTTCAGCTGCAGCATGGGCCAAAGCTCTGTACTCGGCCTCAGTAGAAGACCTAGCAACAGTAGGTTGTTTCTTGGCTTGCCAAGAAATGAGGTTAGAACCCAGAAAAACACAAAACCCAGAAATAGATCTGCGGTCAGAGGGATCACCAGCCCAGTCGGCATCAGAGAAGATATGCAGATCAAAAGAACCAGGACTGAAATTAAGACCAAAGTGCAGAGTACCCTTAAGATATCTGAGGATCCGTTTGACTGCTGCAAAATCGGTGATAGTAGGCAGATGCATATGTTGACAAGCCATGTTAACAGCAATGGAAAGATCAAGGCGAGTAAGAGTGAGGTATTGAAGAGCTCCCACAATGCTTCTATAGAGAGAAGGATTATGAAAGGGCAAGGAATCATCAGCAGAAGAAAATGATGAAGGTTTGAGAGACAAAGAAGAAGAGTAAGGCTTGCATTCAGCAAGACCAGCTTTGAGTAAAATATCAGCAGCATATTTTTGTTGGGACAAAAACAAACCAGTAGGAGTGTGATGGACAGCAATACCTAGAAAGTAACTAACCAGACCAAGATCCTTAAGAGCAAAAACTGAATGCATATGAGAGATGAGAGATTGAATATGAGAAGAGGAATTGCCAGTAATTAAAATGTCATCAACATAGACAAGAAGATAAGTAATTGAGGGAGCAGTTTTCTAAATGAACAAAGAATGATCACATTGACTATGAACAAATCCTGTGGAAATAAGATAGGAAGAAAAAGCTGTGTACCAAGCCCGAGGAGCTTGTTTAAGCCCATAGAGAGACTTGTTTAGTTTACAAACAAAGGAGGGCTGATTAGGACAAACAAAACCAAGGGGTTGGTGCATAAAAACATCCTCATCAAGAGTACCATGCAAGAAGGCATTTGAGATATCTAACTGCCGAATAGACCAGTTAAAGTGAAGAGCTAAACAAAATAAAATCCGAACAGTAGGTTGTTTAGCAACTGGAGAAAAGGTATCATGAAAATCAACGCCTTCTTCTTGCAAGTAACCTTTAGCAACCAATCAGGCCTTGTACCTAGCAATATTACCATCAGAATGTTTCTCAATGCGAAATACCCATTTACAACCAATAACATGGGTGGCAGTAGAAGGTGGAACTAGAGTCCAAGTATGCTGAGTTTGAAGAGCTTGAAACTCAGTCTGTATAGCTGCCAACCAATGAGGAGACTGAAGAGCTTCTTTATAAGAGGTAGGTTCAATAAGAGATGGAGAAACATATGCTGATAAACACAGAGAAGAGGCAGCTTTGGACCGAGTAAGCATAGGATGAGTATTAGAGGAAGAAGGAGGAGGATGAGGAAGAATAGGTATTGTTAGTTGAATACCAGGATGAGCAGCCAAGGAAGGACATGAAGATGAAGAAGAAGTTGATGAAGATTGTGCAGAAGAGATAGGTAATGGAGAAGGAGAAGAAGGAGAGGGAGAAGAAAGAGGAGCAACAGTTGGAGAAGACCAAAAGAAAGACTGAAGAGTAGACAAAGAAGGAGAAGATGAGGAAGAAGAAGAAACTGTAGCAAACGGAAATTGAGTTTCATCAAAGATTACATGCCTAGAGACATATACTCGACCAGTAGCAGGATCCAAGCACCTATACCCCTTCATGGAAGAATGATAACCAATGAAGACACAAGGAAGAGATCGAGGCTCAAGTTTGTGAGAGGTATATGGGCGAAGCCAGGGATAACAACACCCAAACACTCTCAAAAAATCATAGTCAGGTTGGACACCGAATAACACCTGAAAAGGACTAAGACAAGGAGATTGAGACCTAGGCAACCTATTAATGAGGTAAGCTGCAGTAGAGACTGCTTCAAACCAGAATTTGAGAGGTAAAGAGGAATGATGCAAGAGAGTTATAGCTGTTTCAATAATATGGCGATGTTTTCTTTCGGCCAATCCATTTTGAGATGGAGTATGAGGGCAAGAGAATTGATGAACAAGACCATTTGCAGTGAAAAATTTGTTAAATTTATGAGTAGAATATTCACCACCACCATCGGATCTAAAAATCTTAAGAGAGGTTGAGAATTGTTTTTCCACAAACATCTTAAACTCCAAGAACTTAGTAAAGACCTCACTCTTGTAATATAAAGGGAACAACCAAGTAAAGCCACTGAAATCATCAATAAAAAGAACATAGTAGCTATATTGAGATTCATCTTGAGTAAATGGACCCCAAACATCACTATGGATGAGGGCAAGAGGTTGATTAACAACAGAAGAAGACAAGGTAAAAGGCAAACGATGACTTTTAGCCACACAACAGTGAGAACAAAGTCCAGTATTATCCTTATTACAAACAATAGGAACAGACTTAGCTATAGTATTGAACTTAGCAGTGGATCGATGACCTAATCGCTTATGCCACAAGGTAGAAGAGATGGTTTGAGAAACATAAGCCTTTGGAGGAGTGGAAAACTGGTAAAGACCATTAGAGTGAAAACCTCTAGAAAGCACTGCCTTTGAAGTTTTGTCCTGAACAACAAAGGAATTTTTATCAAAAGTGATGGTACAATTATTATCTTGAGTAAGCTGGTGAACAAAAATAAGATTGGAAGAAATTTGTGGAACATGAAGTAAATTGTTCAACTGAAAACGAAAAGTAGGAGTAGGAAGAATACCAGCTCCACTATGATGAATAGGAAAAGAATCTCCATTTCCTACCACAACATGATCATGACCTTGATAGGGTTGATACAGCTGCATATGTTGCAAGTCATTAGTGCTGTGAGTGGTAGCAGCTGAATCAAGATACCAAGGAGAAGCCTCAGATGAAACAGAAGAAGAAGAACCAGGACCTGCAGCAGAGAAAGCACGAGGAGCTGTAGGAGACAGAGAAGAACCACCAGGATAGAGAGGAGGCAGAGGATAGCCTCCTTGAGTTGGTGAACTGGAAACAGAGCCATACGAAGGTGAATAAGCTGGTACATAAACTGGATTCAGAGCTGGTGTATAAGCTGGATTCATGCGGTTACGACATTCAAGAGCTGTGTGATTGTTTTTGCCACAGATTTGACAAACAAGACCTGAACCACGACGACCTCTGTAGTTAGAAAAATTCGTATATCGACCTTTGCCACGAAAACTGGAACGATTTCCTCTGTAAGTAGAAATATTTGGCCGATAAGGACCTGACTGAAAATGTTGATGGTGTGAACCTTGAGAAGGTTGATATGGTGAAGCTAGGGTTTGAGATGTAGAAGAAGTGCCTTGAACTGCAGAGAAAGCAATATTAGGAGAAGAATGTAGATTGATCTTCTCAATATGGATTGCCTCAGAACACAATAAGGAGGACATTTCTTCCATTGTTACAGCACCAGATCTGGCTCGAATATCTATTTTGAATGAGTTATACTCATCAGGAAGACCATTCAAAACAAGAAGAATAAGATCTTCATCATCAATAGGTGTAGTGACAAGTGCAATTTGATGTGAAATTTCTTTGAACTGTTGCAGATAGGCCTCCATAGTTTGAGATTTCTTTGAAAGTGATTGAAGTTTGTTCTTGAGTTGATGAATATGTGAGCATGATAAAGCAGTAAATCTCTTCTCCAAAGCGAGCCATACTTCATGACTATACTGCAGATGCAATACAGAAGAAAACACTGGTGGTGAGAGGGTTGCAGTTAAACAACTCAGAAGATGTGTATCAACAAGCTTCCATTTGCTGAATTCTGGATTGGAGACTGAAATGTTCTGTGCATTCATTGTTGTAGAAGAAGGACAAACAACCGATCCATCAAGATAACCAAAAAATTCTGTAGCTCTAAACAAATTCTGAACTTGACTTTTCCAAATTAGATAATTTGATGAGTCAAGTTTGACAGTGACTAACGAATTGAGATTGGAAAGAAGAAGAGAAAGATTTGGCATTGAAGATAACGCCATTGTTGAATTCTCGTTAGAGCTCTATTAGCTCTGATACCATGAAAGAAGTCTGAATGTTACACTTTATTATTCATCTCACAATTACAATATATACAACTTTACAAATCTGTAACTAATCATCTAACAACCTAACTAATCTAACTAACTAATCTGTAACAAACTAACTGCATACAATACAAGGGAATTGTTAACATGTTACACAGCTCATGGTGTGTGATACATCTTCAGCTTTCGTTCTTGTGCACTGTGTGCTCTGCTATCTGGTATAGTAGCTGCAGCTATGGACTGTTTGGACTGCTGTGATAAGTGGTTGGACTGCTGTGGTAAGTGGTGCTGTGTTGAATCTTCATCAAAGAGATGGGAGTAGTTGGACACGGTTAGGGATGGTAACGAGTCGGGGCGGGATCAGGGATCACACTTCCCGTCCTCGATCCCCGATAGTGAAAATTTTCTCATCCTCGGCCTCGATCCCTAACGGGAAGCCTATCACCATCCCCGCTCCTGTCCCCTAATAAGGATTAGTTTTCCTCAACCCTGAAAATTCCCCGGGCCAAAAAAAAAATCAGGAATGGAGGAGAGAGTGAGATCTCCATGAATCTAGATCTACCACAATAACAACAACAACAATAATAATCAAAATAATTTCACATTTATGACCAACTGTAAATCAATCGTGCTTGATAGAACCTATACATAACAAGAGGGAAAAAAAAGAAAAAAAAAAAGGAAAGACATGGTAGTAGAAGAGTCCTCTCACCAAGCCAAACTCTCCAGTTAAAGTGGTTGGTTGGTTGGTTGTGAATCTATTTGTAGAGAGCCTTATCTATAACACTTTGATCTCATCCACAAAAGATATATATAAAATAAAATAAAATAAAATAAAAAGAAGAAATTTATCGCAGTACAATTGACTGAATCAATAAATCCCTATTTAGCCGCTTCCTACGATTTCATGAATAGCATCACTGGTAGATTCATCCTCATATCTAACAGCAAGCTTCATTGCAACTTCCTTTGGCCTATCAATCCCAAAGGACAACCGAACAAGCACTTTTCGTGCCCATGAACACACCAGATCGGAGAAGACAAAGATGAGAGAGAAGAAAGAGAGCCAAATTGGAAATGGAAGAGAGAGAGAGAGAGAGGGGACATCATCACATGGATCTCGTCCTCTCTACTGCCACCGTCCGATTTGCTTGGTGAAGGAATGCGTACGGGCAGCCGGCGGTGATGATGGAGATGGTGGCAAGTGATGTTGAGAAGGGAGGAAGAGATCTAAGTAAGAGAGGTTTGGGGCCGTCGGTGGATGAGAGAGAGAGAGAGAGAGAGAGAGAGAGAAGAGAAGTGAATGAGTGAATAGGAAAAACAATATATATATATATATATGGGGATTCGGGGATTATTCAGGGCTGGGCCGAAGTGGGGGAACCTATCCCTGTCCTCGGCCTGAAAGTCATCAAGAATCTATTTGTCAATACTAGCCCCGGCCTTATGGGGGATAATTTTCAGGAAAAACCAGACTTATCGGAAAGGGGCGATCCGGGCCCTCGTCGAGCCGGGTTCAAATTGCCATCCCTAGACACGGTGATGGGTAATGGTTGATTATCGTAAGAGATGAGTGGGGAAAGGATGAAAAAATGAAAATTTTCAAAATGGCTCTACATTTATTTCGATTTTTTTTTTTGGACCCCCTTTTTTTTTTTGGGTGTAATGAAAATTAAAAGTAATAAAAAAATAAATGAATTTGATAATAATGAATTTGCCTTGGCGGTGCGATTCGGTGCGATTTTGGCGGTTTCGGCGGTTTTGGCGGTATTATGCACACCCCTAATTACAATCACTATCACTTCCACCATCACAATCTCCAGCGCATAGAGGGATCATGTGCCCTCCGGGATTTTACATATTTAAACTATTTCCCTTATTTGTGAAGTTTATATCTAATTTGTCCTTTATAAAATTATAATAATGCGCTCTCCTTAAATCATGTAAAATTCTTTTGTATTTTAAAATTTTTAAAAGTTCTCTATTATATTTTTTTTGTTCAATCCTTTATACTCTAAACTGGAAAATTAATGGTAAGAATTAAATTAATTGAACATTCCATCCTTATCATGGGATTTGTTTAGTTCATTCTTCATCATTCTTATCATGGGATTTGTTAATCATAAAGTCATTGATTATGGATTTTAAAGCTATATTGATGTAATTCTCACGATAATTATAATACTGAATATCAACAATAGACCCAAAAAAATATACATAAATTTAATAGTATCTCGTTATTGTTTATTGTGAATTTTTTTTTCTTCCTTTCAATGATGTAAGTAATATGTGCCGCTCTATCTTGAATTTCTAGTTCCGCCACTGGCCACTGCCACTCCACCACTCCATTGCCACCTATACCCCACCGTCAACCACCACCATTAATATAACTATTAATATATTAATTTCAACTACGCGTGCAACCAAATTTAGAAAAAATATTAAAATTTAAGAAATTATTCTTTACCAAACCAAATGGACCGTAATTAAAAAAACAATTTCTTTACGTTTCTTACAAATTATTTAGTTTGAGTTTTTTATATTAAGTTTTTTGAAAATTGAATTTTTTATTTTTTGTGTTTCTTTATTTTTAATGAATATTTTTTAAATTTTAAGCATTTTTTTTAACTTTTTTAGATACACCTTACTTAAATGTATCTAAAACGTAAAAAAATTGTGAAAAATATTTTAAAAAATTAATAAATACATAAAAATATGAAAAATATATTGAATTCTTGTAAAAAAAAATTTATATTTTTGGTATTTAGTGAATTTTTAAAAGATTTTTTTCACAAAAATTATACTTTTTATGTGTATTTATGTTAGGTGTGTCTAAAAATTTTAAAAAATTACTTAAAATATTTAAAAAATTTAGTAAAAACAAAAAAAAAAAAAGAAAACAAGAAAGTAAAATTTTTTGAAAAATATTTTTGAAAAATCAAAAAAAGCATTTGTAAAATGCACGCTTATATTTTTTTTTATGGTGAAAAAAAAAAATTAGACACCAAATAACATTTTAGGTTTCTAGTTTGACCTGAAAAAATTTAAATTAAAAATTACAGTTTGTCTTTTTATGTTTGGTCACTTTCTTATTTTGACTCTTAAAGTTTGTTTTTTTTTTTTTTTTTTTTTTTGCCACTTTTGCCTTTCATATTTCAAATTTTTCTCAATTTATTCCTAAAGCTAATTTTTGTTTAAACTAGACAGAAAATATCACGTTAACTGTCACATAATATAAAAAATATTTAATTATATTAGGATTTGAGTTTGTATTAAAAGTGCGAATTATATATAATAAAATATTTTTTTGTTATGTGACAATTAACGTGATATTTTCTGTTTAATTTTGAATAGAAGTTAGCTTAAGGAGTAAATTAGAGAAACATGAAGGGTCAAAGTAGAAAAAAAAACTTTAAGGGTTAAAGTGAAAAAATGATCAAACATAAATGGGGTAAAATTTACCCATTAAGTTTTTTTAATGATGTAAGTAATATGTGTCCCTTTGTCTTAAATTTCTAGTTCTACAACTAACCACTGCCACTTCACCACTCCAATGCCACCTATAACCCACCGGCAACTATCACCATTAATACAACTACTAATATATTAATTTCACCTACACATACAACCAAATTTAAAAGAAAAAATATATATATATATATTTCAACTACGCATGCAACCAAGTTATTTTTTACCAAACTAAAGGGACCGTAATTTTAAAAAAAAAAAAAAACAATTTTTTTTAACGTTTCCTAAAAATTAATGAATTCGTCAAACGCATATATTTTTTTATGGGGAAAAAAAAAATTAGACACCGAACAACCTTTTATGTTTCTAGTTTAACCCAAAAAAATATAAATTAAATATTACACTTTGCCCTTTTATATTTGGTCACTTTTCCACTTTAACTCTCTCTTTTTTTTTCTTTTTTTTTTTTCACTTTGACCCTTTATATTTCAAGTTTTCTCGCTTTTCTCTGAAAAATATCTTCTTTTCAAAATTAGACAGAAAATATAACAATAACTGTCAAATAATATAAAAAATATATATATTATTATATTCAAATTTTAAGTTTATATTAAATATGTGAGTTATATATAATAATATACTTTTTTATTAAAGTGAACTTTACCATGTTCTAATTTTGAGAAATTTCTCAACAAGAGCATGTACATTGAAGAGACTAACATCATATAAAGTAGCATTACTCAAGCAAAACCCAAAAAATATATATATAAATTTAGGAAAATTATTCAATATTCTCGGAGCGCCACCTGTCCATATTCTAAACAAATTATCAATTAGTTAGCTCCATGTTATTCCCCCATCCCCAACATAAATCGTGGGTCATTGTGTCTCTCCACCAATCAAAATCTTATGAAGCACCACGTGTCCATACTCCGGGAGTATTGAATAATCACTCATAAATTTAATAGTATCTCGTTATTATTTCTTGTAGATTTTCTTTTTCTTCCTTCCAATGATAATGCCACCTCAACGCCACCGTCAACCACCACCATTAATACAACTACTAATATATTAAGGGTCCAACTTATCTCATGTTTGAGATTAAGATTGGACCATCCAGTCTGGCCCATAGGCCCATTTTTTGGCCCTGTTTTGATAATTCGAACCGTTCAATGTGTAGAACTCGTCGAGTAATATATCATTGTAAAAAATCATATTGATTGAATATTAATAACTATTTGATCGGATCAGATTTCTGTCAACCGTTTATTTTTATATCGTCCATTTTTTTATACAAATCTGATTCAATCAAATAACTATTGATATCCGATCAATATAATTTTATATATATATATAGCACTCGACGAGTTCTACACATTAAACGGTTTGAATTATCAAAACGGGACCCAAAAATTAACCCTTGGATCAGACTGGATGGTCAATCTTGATCTCAAATATGAGACAAGTTGGACCCTATATTAATTTCTGTTGGAACAATCTTCTGTGTAAATAAAATAACTAGAAATAAATCCAAACAAATAAATAAATAACGTACCGAATTTATTTATTAAACCGAATAAATAATTTAAGACCAAGTCGAGTGTGTGACACTCTGTCCTTAAGACAGATTCGCCCCGCTATGGTACTGACGGTTGAGCGGCGTCTATCTCCCAGGATACAATGATCTTCACAAATTGTAGTAGTACTCCAAACAATTTGTTCGGCGAACTAAACCTGTGTTCTAACTCTCTGAATATTTTTTCCTAAAATTATATATGAAGAATATATGTACTTAGAGCAAATAGGACAGCAAAAAAAAAAAAAAAACTGACTGAATTTCTCGTGGCTCTAAACTGCTGGAAAAGTGTCTATATATATAGGCAAAAAATTTAGTCCCGAAAAGGTGTTTCCTTGAAGTGAACAGGCGCACAACTTATTCCAAACAATTTGTTTGACCGTTGGCCCAAGAAACCCACTGTTCAAACAATTTGAAAAGTTGACCGATAGAGAACTGTTTCAAGTAACTTTTATTAATTAAACTATAGGAATATATATATATATATACATATATATTAAATTAATGAATATATATATATATATTAAACAAATTGAATAGTTTAATAAATAAAGTAAGAGGTACAAATTTTCGGAGATCACTTAAGGACCCAAAATTTGAATTTAGAATTAAATTAAATTCCCACAATAATTTTTATTGAAAAAATTCAAATGAATTTTATCTAAATAAAAATTAATGTTAGACCCGAAAACGACATCAACTTCCCATTCACTCAAAAATGGTTTTGACGTTCCGTCTTCACCGTGTGACTTGCCACGCGACAAGGAACACGTCACCTCTTCGGACTCATCCCAAAGACGTTTGGGACCCACTCAAAACGGGTTAAAAATATGCCTATATAAAAACCATTTTTTCCAACAATTTCAACTAGGCATGCAACCGAATTTAGAAAAATATATATTTTTTCAACTACGCATGCAACCAAGTTTTTTTTTTACCAAACCAAATGGACCGTAATTTAAATTTAAAAAAAAATAAAAAAAGAAAAAGAAGACAATTTTTTTACGTTTCCTAAAAATTAATGAATTGGTCAAACGCTTATATTTTTTTATGAAAAAAAAATTAGACACCAAACAACTTTTTATGTTTCTAGTTTAACCCAAAAAAAATATAAATTAAAAATTACAATGTCTTTTTATGTTTGGTCACTTTTCACTTTAACTCTTAAAATTTGTTTTTTTTTTTTTCACTTTGAACCTCATATTTTAAGTTTTCTCACTTTACTCCGAAAGCTAATTTCTATTCAAAATTAGATAGAAAATACTACAATAATTGTCAAATAACATTAAAAAATATATATTATTATATTAAAATTTAAATTTAAATTAAATATGTGAGTTATATATAATAATATATTTATCATTAAAGAGAACTTTACCATGTTGTTCTAATTTTGAGAAATTTGTCAACAAGAGCATGTACATAGAAGAGACTAACATCATATATATAGTAGCATTACTCATATAGTAATTAACTATTCAAACCAAACAATACCCTTGTCTTGATTAAAGAATACCCACAACAATGTGTCTTCTCCAACGCCTCAGAGCAAATTTATCATTATTTCTCATCACAATCACTCTGCTAACTATGATCAGCTCTGTTTTTGGCCAGCCAACTTACACTTACTACTGTTCTGCCAACTATAATAATGACACGGCCAACCTTAGAACCCTCTTGGGCTCTTTGTCCTCTAAAGCAGCCGATAACAACACCTTCTACAACGACACATCCAATAACATGTACGGCCTCTACTTTCAACTGACATGTGCCATTTATGTGTGGAGGCTGCAATTCAAAATATCCAACAACTATGTCAATCTGATAATCGGGCAATCATATGGTACGATGAGTGCATGTTACGATACTCTGATGCTAACTTCTTTGGAACTGCAGAAATAGATCCACTAGTTTTGATGTATAATACCCTTAATATTAGTTCACCCAATGATACAAACGTTGACACACTTGTTTTAATGCACGGTCTGGCATCAGAGGCTGGGACGGAGCCGATGATGTATTATGCACATAAAGAATTACCTGCAACTAATGTTGCACCGAAGAACGTATCTCGGATGGTGCAGTGTAGTAAAGATATAAGTGGTGACGAATGTAAAAATAACTGTTTGGGGAAGCTGATTAAGTATGCCGAGACATGTTGCCAATCGAAGAGCGGGTGGCGTATATTGGCACCCAGTTGTAATGTGAGGTATGAGGAGTATTTTTTCCTTACGCCATCCGTGCCTCCACCGGTGCCTCCGCCCGTGCCTCCACCTGCGCCTACTACTACAAGCAAAGGTGAGTCAAAAGAAATGCTAAGCCAGAGCATGTTGATAGGCAAAACAAAACGGTAAATTATCAATAAGTTCTATTTTTGAAACTTATTACCTATTAAGTCTTACTGATAAATTTATCAGATTCTCTTGTTTTCATGAACAAATTTACAATAATAAATTTATCGGTCAGTAGGTACATAATTCTAATTAATATGACTGATTGATAAGTATCTCAAAATAAAATGTATATTTTGTAGTACCTTCTAGTTAGATAATAGCGGTAGAGATGCTCCAAATTTTGGATGAAATTTGCATAAGTAAAAAACTTTGACTAAGTAGGGTTCTGTAATTATTATTTGATTATGTTCCCATTTTACTCTCTTGTCCAGGTTAAGAATTTCTTGATATTATTTAGTTATAAGGTCAAGGGGAATTTACCTTACTTTTCTAAAATAATTACAAATTCATAAAAAAAAAGCTTATGACTTTAATCGTTGAAGTTTGCAAAGTTTATCGTGAATCTACAATTATTTTTTAAAAATATCACTGATTTGTTATTTCCCCACAGATCAATGTTTTAGCCCACTCAGTAACATTAATCTGTATACATAATTGGCAGGAAAGGTAGTACTAATTATCATTGTACCAGTTAGTACCTTCCTGGTTGTTGCCTTTGGTTTCTAGTTTTACCGATTATTTGGGAGAAGAAGCCAAGCACGAGAAGGTTAGCCCTTAATCATCATATCTTTTTTAGCGGCTAATTATATCAATTGGTATCCAAAGTATTTAGTTCATAATCGTACAACAACAACAACAAAATTAAATTGTTGGGTACCAAATGTAGCAAGTGTATACTGTGGGGGATAATTTGTGCATTTAGTCCATTTGATTTTACTTTAATTTGAGCGAAATTTCATTTTAATCATCGTAATTTTAATTTGAATAATTTTAACCCTATACTTTTAGTTTTGTTGCAATGTGATCTCTCTGACGCTTACCGTTAAAATTTTAAACAGAAATAAATCACATGTAAAATTAAAGGGATCTGAGAGAAATTCATAAAAAAAATTATAAGGATCACACTCGTTCTCTTTAGTTACTTTTAAATTTTATTTTGGTCTCTCTAATTTTGCATTTTAATTTTTTTCCGTTAAAAATGTTAACGCACATAATGGAGAAACAATATCATTACAAAACTAAAAGTGTAGGGTCCAAATTTTTTAAATTGAAACTACAGAGACTAAAGTGACATTTTGCTTAAATTATAGGGATTAATGCTATAATTTACCCACAAATCAAGTCTTTTTTTATCTATACTATATACTAATATAATAAAGAACGATAAATTACACAATTGAACCTTCTAGTGTGAACAAAATTTCGCTTTGATTCTCATAGTTTCAATTTTAACAATTTGGTCCTTACACTTTCAATTTTATTTCAACGTGGCCCCTCCCTCATCATTAAAATTTGGAACAGAAAAAGATCGCATGCAAAACTAAAGGGACCAAAGTAAAATTTAAAACAAATAATAAGGACCACTAGTGTAATAAAAAATTGAAACTACCAAAATTACAACAAAAATTGGAAGTGTAACAACCACATTACAACAAAATTGAAAGTGTAGATATCAAATTGTTCAAATTGACACTTCCCATAAACTATAAGGAGTAATGTGCAATTTACCCTAATAAAGAAAGATTAGGGGAAACACTTTATTTTTATAAAATTGTGTCAAGCCAATTTGGTGAATCAGCAGGTTAAATTCACTACAACTGATGGACAATAAATATGTAGAAGCAAATCTTTCTTGGCTGATTATTCAATAGTCCAGGGTACAGTCACGCAATATTCTATGGTAGTATGATTGATGGAGAAGGTGAAGCATTGATTATTTGTGATGGGTGATTGAAGAACATGAGGGGTATAATGAATGGTAATTAGTGAGGAAGTATGACCACGTGTTACTCCGATACTATTGTATAATTTTCCTTCTTTCACATCCTTCTTATAATTTAGGGTAAATTATATTGTTGGACTCTTTAGTGATTCAAGTTTTATTTTAGTCCCTATAGTTATAATTTGAACAATTTAAATCATATATTTTTAGTTTTATTGCAATATGATCCCTCTATAGAATGTTGAACGAAAAAATACCACATACAAAACTTGAAAAACTAAAATGACATTCAACAAAAAAATTATGTAATTAGTCGTGTAATTAAATAAGAATTAGTTGTGTAATTAAATAAGACTAAAATGCAGCAAATTTGGAGGCATTGGTGAAATTAGTAGTGCTCTGTTCTTGATGAAATTGATTCCAATGCTAATTTTATATTGAATGCAGTTCTTCAAGGGATGAGCCAAGAAATTTTGTTAAACAAATTGGAATCTCAAACAAGGAAGCTATTCATGGTGAATGGGTTGGAAGTTCAGGATGAAGATGACAGCAGAGATATGCATTACTTCGACCTAAATACTTTACAGAATGCTACAAACAATTTCTCTGAAGCAAATAAGCTTGGAGAAGGTGGTTTTGGTCCTGTCTACAAGGTAGAAAACATTTTTGCTCAACATTAATATAATCGACAAAATATACCCTATGATCATTAAAGTTTGCATAATCAGGTCTTTGGCCTAGTGATTATGTACCATCACTTTATGAGATGAGATCTCATTACTCCGATCTTTTAAATTTTAATTTTGTTAATTTTATCCTTACATTCTTCAGTCCAAGTCATATTAGTCTAATTCCACTGTTCATCTAAATCACTAACGAAATCCTTAAATATTTACTTATTGTCTTTAAACTATGTGTATTGTGTCAATTTGTTTCTTCAAAGTATTAACTTTTTCAATTTCATCTCTTAATATTGTAAATTTATATTTCATCTTCCTATTAGTGTTTAAGGACCACAGTGATAAATTTTTAATAATTAAAGTCACCCGAAATGTATAGTTTAGGGACTAAAGTATCTTTTTCTTTTTTTATCATTCGGGTTACAATTGGTTTGAAAATGAGTCAGATTGACTCAAATTAAAAACTGTGGTCGTGGTCCTTGTAATTCGTCTATTATATTTATTTGGATCATGGAGTTTCAATTTTATCAATTTTGTCATTTAAATTTTTGAAAAATTATTTGGTGGTCTTGGAACACTGTCAGGTGGTGCTCCAAGTGTGTTTTGATTGGTGAAAAGAGTGAGACTTACGATTTTGTCTTGGGTAATTGGAGAATAGTAGAGAGTAGGGTGATTTGTGATTGGTCAGAGACATAACCACGTGGTTTCCCTGGATCACGATCTAATTTTTCTTAAATTTTCACATTATGTCAGTTTAATGTAATTGATAACAATCATTAAGAAATTAGATAGAAGTGAAGAGCAAAATGGTCCATTTAAAAATGAATGAATCATTTCAAATTAGACATTAACCCCCTCAATCTTTTTGAGGAGAGTGGGTAGATTGTTTTATTACCTCTTAATTGTAGTCTAATTTTTAAAGGAGTGTCATCAATTAGACTAAATTAACACAATATAATAAAAAAAATCAAGAATAAATTATTTTTTTTTTAAGATTTGATTCATATAAAATATTACAATGAAACCCAATAAATTACAATAATAGTAATGAAGATCAAATACAAACTTTACGAAGAAACTCCCAAAGTAGGAGAGAATGCCTCAGTTGGTACACGGAAAATAAGACTCACATGCATGTGGAGGAGATTTGAACTATTGACCTCCTAGTGAGGTACAAGAATTCTGGCCAATCGGACTAATCTCGTTGGTTAATCAAGGATAAAACTGATGCAATTAGAATTAGAGTGATCAAATTAACATGAGAAGCAAATTAAATGTATTATGTGTGTGAAGTAACAAAATTAAAACTAAATTATACCCAACACATACCTTAGGAACCATAATAAACATATATTTTGTTTGGTTGAAATTTTGTTTGAAATGCATTATTATTCAGGGAAAGCTTCATGATGGGAAAGAAATAGCTGTTAAAAGATTATCAAGCAACTCTGGGCAAGGTCTTGAAGAGTTCAGGACTGAAGTCAAGTTGATGGTAAAACTTCAACACAGAAATCTTGTGAGACTCTTAGGTTGCTGCATTGAGAAAGATGAAAAGCTTCTAGTCTATGAGTATATGGCCAACATTAGTCTTGATGCCTTCCTCTTCGGTTTGTGCTTTCTCTAGGGCTGTTTGATGCAATTTATTTGAGCTGTTTATAACTTTTTTTTTATTATTATTTAAAAAGTCTATGTCATATTGTTTGATGGAGATTCTGCTTACCGTTTATTAAAAAAAAAATAGCTTAAATAAACTGAAAAAAAAAATTGATTATCTAAAAATTGAGAGAGTGTGTTTTTGGATTATCAGCTTTAACTTAGAGTAAGTTGTGCCAAATAGCACCAATCTCTCTTCTTCTCTTAATGAATTTAGCAAGACAACTTTACATTACAATTTGTCATTTTGGTCTAATTCCAAAATGTAATCAACAGATGCTGTCATTAACCTCTTCTCTTTTTCTTTTTTTTGCTTTTTCCTCTTTTGTCAGATTCTACAAAATGTAAGGAACTAGACTGGGCTAAGCAAGAAAATATAGTCACTGGAATAGCTAAGGGACTTTTGTATCTGCACGAGGACTATCGGCTCAAAATCATCCATAGAGACATGAAAGCTAGCAATGTTTTATTGGACGATGAGCTGAACCCAAATATATCAGATTTTGGCACCGCCAGGATATCTTATGGTAACCAAATTGAAGCCAGCACCAACAAAATTGTGGGTACATAGTAAGTCATTTCTTCCTTGAAGTTTATCCATTTTTAGAAAGAAAAATATATATATATATATATATATATCTCATGGGAAATTGTAGATTTTAAAAAATATTTATGTACCTAGAAAGTGTCCAAAATTTGAGGTGTGATGTAGATTTAAACTTTGTCTAATGTAGGACATACATGTCAAATTCTAATCACTTTTATACATTCACAACTTCGAATTTGAAAGCTTAAAACCTAAAGATGCAGAAGCAAGGCCATATGTGTGACTTGGTTTATTTACTTCAAAAATTGTAATATTATTTTTGTGTGTGATGAAATTTCTCTCAAAGGTGTTGTTATCTAAAGTACGCAGAATTGTCCAAGTTTATTTAAAATATCATACATACATATATATATATATATATATATTCAAGTTCATGAATTAGATGTACATGTAGCACCGCCCATGTCGAGGTCAATCTATACATAATATTTCACTCCATGTAATATCTAGAGTAGTTTTGCTTTCATCATTTTTCATCTCTAATTCAATATTTTTCTTTTGACAGCGGATACATGACACTAGAGTACGCAATGGAGGGAATATTTTCAGTAAAATCTGATGTCTACAGTTTTGGAGTTCTAATGTTAGAAATCATAAGTGGCAGAAGAAACAGTGCTAGCTTCAATCTCCCAGCACGCACCCAAGGCTTTTTACAAAATGTATGTAGGTTATTTCATCTAATTATTGAACTTCGGTAAGATCAAAATTTGTATTTTTTGAACTCAATTGGATATGATTCCAAATAGGCATGGCGACTATGGAATGATGGCAAAGCACAAGAGTTGACAGATAGAAACTTGATCGGCAGTTGTTCTGTAAGAAAGGTTGCAATATGGATTAACATCGCATTGTTGTGCGTTCAAGAAAACCCTGATGATCGGCCCTCGATGTCAAAAGTTGCTTTCATGCTTGGAGGCCAATCAACAGAGATTGCCAAGCCATCTGAACCTCCATTCTCTGTTGGTGGATACCCCGTGTCCAATCAATGGTCATCTACCGGGGAAGGAACAGAACCTGCAAGTATATCACTTACACTCCCACGAGAATAGACTTGGACGGATGGAGACTTAATCCATCCAATTTAAAACCAATTGGCAATGAGTGGAGGGGCTTTTGAAGTATATTAACCAAGCTTGGAACATGCGTAATGTTTATATCCATCACAAAGATTACCATTTTGTTAATTAGAAATTTCTCTAACTAGGTGTGTATCTATCATATAAAATTGAAATGCGGAATATTAATTACCTTTTTTTTTCCCCATTAATTGATAAGTATACTAATTTAACTTGTACCTTATGTCTCAAACACTAGTTCTAACTTCTTTTGTGTTAAATGTCAGATAGTGTCCGTGTACTTTTATCAAATGTCAGAAGAGAGAATAACAGCTTGTTTGTTTTCATTTTTCAGAAAACACTTTTCAAAAAATTTTACTTTCTTATTTTCCGTGTCTTTTTGTTTTTACTGAATTTTTTTAATATTTTAAGCAATTTTTTACTTTTTAGACACACCTAACATAAATACACCTAAAAAGTAAAAAAATTGTAAAAAAAATCTTTTAAAAATTCACTAAATACCAAAAATATAAAAAAAAAATCAAGAATTCAATATATTTTTTGTATTTCTATGTAGTTATTAATTTTTTAAAATATTTTTTCACAAATTTTTTACTTTTTAGATACATCTAACTAAGGTGCATCTAAAAAAGTAAAAAAAATGTTTAAAATTTAAAAAATATTCACTAAAAACAAAAGAATACGAAAATCAAAAAACTCAATTTTTAAAAAACTTAATCTAGAAAACTCAAACTAAACACACTGAATATTTTTACCCTTTCCTTCCTGCATAAGGGTTATAGCTTACTGTTGCTTTCCATAATTTGCTTGTAAATGTAGTGTGGCAAACTACCTATTTAGCTGTGATTGTTGTACTCTTCTTATGAATAGAGTTAGATTTTACATACAAAGATATGGAAAGGAAGACCAAGTGGCCTATTCGGATCACATGATGCCCAAATGATAAATTTAGTGTATAGGCTAATATTGGCAGATTAACTCTGAAAGGGCCATGTTCGACTGGAAATGGCACAACAGTCAAAACACACCGCTTTGCCTTGATCTAAGGTACTTTTCTTGGAGGGGATGAATTTTATCGTTTAGATCCTTAATTTTTGCAATTTTGTTTTAAAATTACTTTGATTAAAAAATCTTGTTTTCATTGTCATTGTTTTAGCATGCTTCCTAAGATCTTTAGTATCTAAATTTAAGTTCAAATTCGCTATTTTTTTTTATAATTTTTATATTTATTTTATTTTTAGCTTTGGTTAGCAAGGGATTGCCCTATGCAGATGTTTCCCGCATAGGATTGCTCTACTATTTTAACAAGTCTTACGACTTTATTCAGTTTTGAGTTTATTAGTATTTTATTTTTTTAATCTCTAAATTATCATTGTTTGTGTGTGTTCATGTTACTTGGTTCATCATCCAACACACGTATCCTAGACAACATTAAACATGATTAAATAGCAAAATTAACCACTCTGAAATTGAACATCTTTTCTATCTCTGTGGGGAATAGATTCAGTCTATGACTAACTTGTAATCTAGTTTTTGCATTTCCCTTAAAAAGGAGGCTTATTCAATTCTATGTAAGAGGCAAATTGATCCATTCAAATTCAAGCGAACTTCTAAATAGGCTATGAACTTTCTTAACAGAGGTGAATGAAGAACAATAAAAAACAAATTCCTTCTCTAATCTCCCTACATTTTTTTTTTTTTTCTAATTATAGAATCAATTGAGATAACCTTGCCCAATTCCTTAATTTATCTCCCGCTTCATGTACTTAAAAATGGCACCGAAGTGATTTGAAAGTTGAAAATCATTGTAATATAGTAATACAGAAAAAGCACAAAACATACTAGACCAAAAATAAATAACGATATGTTGAGATGCATATAATGTCTAGACATATCAAAGAAATTTAAATGTAAGCGAAAAAATTTATTAACAACCATCTTGGGATTTTGGAATGACTTGCAAATCATTAAATTACTTCATACAAAACTTCTAATGACACTGATTATATACAATCTTTGATAATATTTCATAGTTCGAGATTGAAAAACAAGCCATAATCACACTGAGTCAGCGTCCAAATTTAAAGCAAAAATATAATATCCACATGTTTTGCAAACTACACAAAATGAGCATAGTATGAGTACTAGGCCACATACACATGAGCGGACTGAACAAGACCTTCTATCCTTTTCTTTATCTCATCTGAATTGGCACCCACTATCTTGTCAACTTGAGCACCATCTTTCATCAGCAAAAATGTTGGCATGGCTTTTACCTCATATTTGGTTGCTACCTCCTAATCAAAACCAAAAAAATAGAATAATAATAAATCAATTAGTGCTATTTGTTAGGAATTTAATGACACCAAACTTGAATTGGTGAGACAAAATACAAGAATATAAAGATTTATGTGATTTATTTCAGAATAAGATTACGTCCACAATCACTACAGTTTCACAATGATCTGAAAACCATTACAACTTTCACACCAAATACAAGAGACGGCCCTCATCTATGAAAAGTACAAAAATGAAGGCAACGGGGAAACAACAAGAAGGCCCCCAAACCTCCCATTGGATCGATAGGAATACAACACAAATAAGAGATGGGGCTCAGATGTGAAATCCACCCCTTGTCTTTTATCCGTAAAACTTTTTCTATTCTAGATTTTGTTAGGAGTTGACCATTCTTAACCAAGATCGGTGAGACACAAAACGACAAAGGAAGAAAAAACAAATCAAACAAATCACACACACAAAAACACAAGGATTTACATAGTTCCCAGAATAGGGCTACGTCCACGGTTACTGTAGTTTTCACTATGATCAGAAAGAACACAACTCTCTTAACCTAAAGAGGCGTTCCTTATCTATTTATAAATATAAAATTAGAGTTACACGGAATCAACATGGGAATTATGAAAATAACTAAAAAAATTCGGCCGGGGGTAAACCCTCGGACCTCCTCCTCCACCTTGGGGGAGGCCCCCAAACTCCCAATTGAACCCAGTGTTTGAGTGAATAGTAAGATTGAGTGAACAGTACTTGTTAGGGTTCACTGACCCAACAAATTTGAGTAAATATTTTGAAAAATGATATACTGATCACCATCAACCAAATACTGCCATTAACTAGCAATAGAAATTTCACAAATATGCTTCATACAGTCCACCATACAATACAATACAACACAGAGAAACTGTATATCATGAAAATACCTTGACATCATCAACGTCAACTGTGAGAAACAGTATATCCTGGTCAATTGGTGCCAGTTCCTCGATGAAAGGATTCGTTGCCACCGACGGCATGCACCATGAGGCTGTAAAATGAGCCACAATCTACCCAAAAAAAAAACAAAAAACCAGAAAAAAAAAAAAAAAACCAGAGATACTGATAAATAAATATAACCAAAAATGTAAGGGGAAATTAAATTCAGTGGTACCTACAAAAAAAATAAATAAATAACAGAATCATCAAAAAGTATTACATTTTAATTATTAAAATTTATAAACTTTAGTACTAATTTTGTCGCCATGTCTTTCTTAAGGCTTAGTCCCTAAGAAGGTCATAAGTTCAATGCTCCTAAAGAGAGTTGAATTAAGAGAGTATAAGTATTTAGGTGCTTCGTCAAGGGTAAAGAGGTTTTCTCTCATAGGTACTAATCTAATTACTAATAACTAACATTTGCCCCCCCTCCCCCAAAAAAAAAAAGAAGGTTTTAAAAGGATTTGAATAATATCAAGAAGAAATGCACAAGTTGACTTTTTATTTTTTGATTATTTTAGTTTGGGACTAAAAAGTTTATTTGAGTTGTCTTTTTTGATTTTTATGAGAAAAAAAGTTAAATGATTATAATTTAAATGTGACATTTTGTCTTGATTTTTTAACCTATTTTATCTGTAGTGACTATATTAGCCAATAATCCCATTGCTAAAGGAAGCCATCTTTACAAGTTTAAAGTTGGCTTGTTTAATTGATTACATTAGTTCTTCTGCAGTATTTCGAATTAGGCCAACAACTCTCATCCTCCACCTGACCCATGGACCATTGAGGGTTCAAGGAAACAGCAGCTCTAGAAGATACAACCACCGCTCTTGACATTTGCTTCAGAACATGCCTCGAGTACAAGTACCCTCCACAGCAGGCTCAATTAGTTGCACCTGTACTAAAGCTATTAGACACTATGGAAGTAAAATAACACACCAAACTCATAACATTTAAGGGAGAGCCTTCTCTCTAATTCACTCTGTGGATTGGAGTATCTTGTTGAGCCTGTGGAGCCTATTATGGGTCTCATTTCAATAATTCGAGTCGTTTAATATGTAGACCTCATCGAGTACTTCTTGCTTACAAAAAATCAAATTGATCGGATATCAATAGCCCCTTGATCGGAATATATTTTTGTTAACAAATTATTTTTAAAATTATATATACCATTGAAAAAAATGTATTTCAATCAAGAGGCACACGATATGTGATCAACTTGATTTTTTGTAGCCATGAAGTACTCGACGAGCTCTACACATTGACGGTTTAGATTATCGAAACAGGACCAGTGGTGAGCTCCACAAGTCCAACAGTACACTTCAATCCACACAGTAAACTGGAAAGAAGCCTCTCTCAACATTTAAAGTCCCATTGAGGTCAAACATACAATGATTACACATGTCATCACACTTCGATGCTGTGAATTTCGAGTGGTCAAATAAATTTCGATGATCAACTCATTAAAATTTTATCAAAATTTCACTAATTAAAGTCAATGAAATTTTGGCTAGTCATTGAAATTTCTATAGCCAAGTTAGTAGTCAGTAAAATTTCATGGATTTTTTTCTTTAAAATTTCATATTATTCATCGATCTTGTTTGAAAGATCTTATCAATAGGATTCTAAAAATATAAATTTTACAAAAAATGAAGATGTAAATAAAATGTTGTTAAATTTAAAAATTTTGAAATCACTTAAACAATATAAGTTATTAAAATAATAACGCTGAGGGATCTTAACTAGGAAGGGAAATTATCTTGGGCTTTTTCTGCTATTCAAACTATATGGAGGATGTATTGTTAATTTTCCATTATTTTTTTAGTTCACCTAGCTGAGTAGAATTTAAAAGTCTAAAGTTTTTTGAAAAAATTACTAAAGACGGAATAAAATCTATAAAATAGCTGCTAAAATAGTCAATCCTAAACACACAATAAATCCATAAAAATAGAGCATTTCACTCATTCTGGCAACCATTTTTCTTCTTTCTTTCCATGAACTTTTTTCTGTTTTTCTATGTAAAAATGAATATATATATATATATATATATATTACAAGGATTGGGTTTCTCTCATGTTGGTCATCTCAACTTCAGAGATCGTTTGGGCTTTGTAAGCTCATTTTGAAACCAATTTTAATGATCCAAACCAGTCACTTATTAAGACTCGTTAAGAAAAATATTCATGCAAAAAATAAGATGATCGGATATTAATAGCTATATGTTTGAATCTAATTTGTATTACAAAAAGTGAAAGATTATTCTTAAAATTATATTTGTCATTTATTTTTTTGAAACAAATACGATTAAAACATGTAGTTAAATCAAGATGATTACTTTTTGACTGATCAAAAAAACAAAAAAAACATATGTAGTTATCGATATTCAATCATCTTAATTTTTTGTATTAATATTCTGCTCAACAAGAGTTAAAAAGTGAACACAATTCGGATTACCGAAATCGATTCTAAAATGGGTCTACTAAGTTTAAACGTTCTTTTAAATTGAGATGATAATTTGAAAGAAGGCAAATCTCAGTTACAAATGCAAGAGGCAGAACTTTGGTGTATTTGAGTTAAAAACCAAGTGATTTTACTGTATTGTCTTTCAAAGTGGCTATGTAAATTGTGTTAGGATCCTCTAGAGTGATCCCTTAGAGTGATCTCCTAAAGCAGAGGAGAGGAGTCCGACACGTGTCCCCACTTAGCCTCCAAATGCTGAGATTTAAACTCACCAAAACAACGTCATTTTGGTGAGTAAATTGAAAAAATAAAAAAAATAAAAAAATAAAAATCAAAGGTTGATGTTAGATCCCTGTGCAACAACAATGGCAGCAACATCTCTGTCTTTGGCAGGTGGAGAAAAGAAGCATTATTGGTGGCTTACCAGCAAAAAGGATTTCAAACACCTTGATGATGATGATCAAGTGAGTAAATTGAAAAAAAAACAAATAAATAAAAATTGAAGGGTTGATGTTAGATCCCTGTGCAACAACAATGGCAACAGAAAGGTATTTCAAACACCTTGATGATGATCACGTGAGTGAATTGAAAAAAAATATATATATATTCAAAGGTTGAAGTTAGATCATGTGCAACAACAATGGTAGCAATTCAAACACCTTGATGATGATGATGATTAGGTGAGTAAATTGAGAAAAATAAAATAAAATAAAAATTCAAAGGATGATGATGATGATGATGATGATGATGATGAGATCGTTACATTCGTGATTTGCATTCCATCCCTAACATTTATGTTTTTTTGCACAGAACGTTCTTGAATCGCCGGAGATGACGAAGCGAACGAGCTTTGAGTTGGAGAGCGAGCTCGAAGCGAGGGATTTGCTACAGGACTACATTCTGAGCATCAAAATCGCCTCCGACGACTCGTCATCTTCTATCTCCTCTGATAACTCTTCTCAGTAGCTTTTCGAAAGAGCAACTTATCTTGCCGGAGAGTGATCGTCCCTCTTTCAAGTGCTTCTCTGTCATGGCTAGCCTTTGTAAAAAAGCAACCAAGAAAGGCAATGGAGTACGGACAGACTGTGAAGGAAATTTGATTTTTTCATTTTTTTTTTTTGAAATATACTCACCAAAACGACGTCGTTTTGGTGAGTTTAAATTTCAGCCCTTGTCGGGCTTCGCTGCTCTACTTTAGGAGATCACTCTGGGGGGATCACTCTAGAGGATCCTAACGTAAATTGAAACTTCACTTGAAACTAAATCTCATGTGGCTACTTTTTCGTTTGGTCCATTAACGTGGCTTAATAAATGGAGTGAATTGAAACTTCACTGGAAGTTTTACTAGTGGATTGTCACTTTTAAAGGTCATGTGAAAAAATAAGATTAGCTGTAAAGTGCACGGATAACAAATGTAATTTGACCACATTTTTTATTTATACCCAAAATTATTGGACAATTTCACTATATTTAATGAAATAAATTTTGTTTGTGTACTAAACAACAAACGGAATACAAAAGAAATATAGGAAAGGAGAGAGTTTGTTTGATTACAAAAATCACACCAGAAAATGAAATAAAATAAATAACACAGACTTTTATTTTGTTACAAAAATAAAATCAAAATCTGAAATAGAAAAAAAATAATAAAACAGAAATGTAAATTAATTACTTACCAAATTAATTTGTTGAACAAAATTTTCTGATCAAGTCTAGTGTTTAACACTGTGTCCTTAAGACGGATTCATCCTCTCCACGGTATTTTCAGATTATGGACATCTATCTCCCAAGATAAAATGATCAACAGTGAATAGTAGCAGCATTACACACTATTCACACGATGAACACACTTTGTGTATATACTTTTTCTCACAGAAAATTAATTACACTCGTTTACACTTTCTCACAGAAAATTATTGTTATTAATGCAGCAAAATGCAGAGATGAATGATAGGAGAGAAAAACAAAAATTGGAGTAAAAATCCAAATGAGGGATTGCGTTTATATAGGAATTTTTGTGGCTGTATGGTTTGAATTAAATAGGTGCAAAACCTGTAAGAACCCTCATTTTTGGTCTTAGTCGCGTTCATGAGCATCTGTATGATTTTGGCTTGTTGAACTTGCATTCGTGTGTTGTGACTTGTTTTGCTCTAGTGAGTGAGATCCGTGTCTTGTTTTGTTGACCTTGTGAATTGTCTAAGTGTTGAGTGCTTACCTTGTTCCTTCCTTGGTCTAAAACTTAGGTCACGCCTTGCCTAAAGTTATGTTAGCCGATGTTATGCCAAGCCTAGGTTACGTTACGCCTAGACCATTCCAAGCCGAGGTCATCCTCAGCCTAGCAGTGTCTTGGAATTCCTTGTCGACCTCCATCCTTGCTTTGACACATTAGCCGAGATGTTACCTTGCACCCAAGTAATCTCGTCCTGGAGTGGTATGACCTAGACCGAGGTGTGGCGCATCTAGGCCAAGATGTGGCACAGCTTAGTCAAGTGTTGTCCTTCCTAGCCGAGGTCATCGTCGCCTTAGTTGCCGGAGTCCTTTTGTTAGCCGATGTCACCCCTTGCCGGAGTGCCATTCCGTGTAGCTTGTTAGATACGCCTTGTTATTAGCCGATGTCATTGCCCCGTCAGAGAGCCCATACCGCTTTACTTGTTGAACACCCTTCCACCATGCTTTGTCTGGTCTGTCAGCCACCTTTTCAGGGGAAACCAACCAGTCGCCGCCACGTGTCTCAGCAGAGGGTTAACCCCAGAACCGAGTAAAGAAAACCATCATTTGGTATCATAACCTTGCCTTTTAGAGAGAGAAGCTCTAGGAGGAAGGAGGAGTTTTAGAATGAGAAAGTAAGTCTTCAAGCTTGATTCCTTGAGATCAAACCGTTAGATTCGTGTTCTAAGGTTAGATTCTTGATCTGCTCATGATGTTCTCTATGTTCATGTTATTGCATTGCATGATCGGATATGATTTGTAAGCCATGCATCGTCTTGAAATTCGGTTTTAGAAAGAGAAAATGACATTCATGTGTTCTTCAAGAAAGTCATGTTTTGATCCGAAAGCTTTTTGCCTAGACTCATGTTTTGTGTTTGTTCTTGCATGATTTTCAACTATGGGTACCCAGGTCCCATTACTTAGCTTCTCTTAGAAGCTTTGGAATTGGAATTCTATAAGAAGGGAGCTCCTCCTCCCTTCTCAGAGGTTCTGAAAATTTAGGGTTAGGAAGTTGTATCTATCTATCTCTATATTTGATCTCTCTCTCTTGTAATTAGTGCTTGTTCTTGCTCCAAAGTATAATATTGTCTTACTATTGTACACAAACACACACTGGAACACCATCCTTGGTTGCTGAGGTGCTAGGGAGTTGGTGTTAGAGTTCTTAA